ATCTATGCCAATGCAGCACTAAAATTAATCAGAGTTAACTCGATTAATTTCACAACCCTAATAAATTATAATTAATAATAAACCAGACCTGAAGTCAGTCTGTAACTTCGACTTTTTAGTGACTTCAGCTAGTAATATCATTATTTCTTACTGTCATAAATAATAAACACAAATATTTACCAGTCCAGGTTACACTAATAAAAACTTAAAAATAATTAAACATATAATATTTTACACAGTAAGATTACCTAAATCAGAGGATAAATCAGTCTAATATTTAATAGTTTGTGTTAAATTGTAACATGATTCAACAGAGCTAAACTCTGTATTTATGCTCCACAAGCTAATATCTGRTAACCAGTTCAATAAATAACAGTGATTACATATAATTTATACGCTTATTTTAATTTTAAACTATTAAATTTTTAGTTTCGGCTCTGGTCTGATCACATCCAGGGGATGTGAGGGACATAAGATAAAATCTAATATTTATTTACGCGACACAACCTGTGAGGAGGGACATAAAAGACGACAAATAACTGATTAAATAAGGAACATTTAAAGTTTTCACAAAATATGCAGAAAATAGTAACCTTTGTGTAGACTATGATAAAGGAAATTAATGTCCACACCATTAATGTCAGCGCTCACCAGCTGCTACTGATGGGAAGCACAAAAGTTTGTATTTTTTTCCTTCATGTTATAAAAATCAAACGTTTATTGGCAAGTAGCCTATTATAAATATACATTCTGTACGGACATTTTTAAAGTAAAAATGTATGTGTGATAACATATATAAAAATTATGTAAAGAAATGAATATTTAAGTAACCACTTAAAGAAGAAAATACCTGAAAACATGTTTTTACACAGTAAGGCTGATTTTCCACATTTTATCCTTTTCCTGTGTGCAAAACATATATTTATTTTATTTTTGGCAAGTCACATGATAATATGTTATTTTCACATAAGAGCTTATGTGYTTGATCTTTAAGTGCTCATTTATTGTCTGTTTACTGAGTCTAAAAAATAASAGGCTGAACAGCAGGACATGAAAACAGGAAGTTGTTCTGTGAAGAAAACAGTCACAAACTGGAACCTTGTTTTAGTGACTTTCAGTTTGTTTTTCCATATCTTCCCAGTCATGTGACCAGTTTGTATTAATTGTCTTTTGCTCCTTAAGATTTGCTCCTGTTTTCATCATGAGGACCATTTTTAGGGGAGACCGGGGACAGAAGCAACAAGGGACGGCTGCAACAGGTCATTTTTCTCCAAACAGAAACAGTGTAGAGTGATGAC